CCCGAGCAACATCACCGTGCCTCCGGGCCCCCCCAGCAACACCACCGTGCCTCCGGGCCCCCCGAATAACACCACCACCCCGGCAGGAAATGTCCCCTCAGTGACTTCCAGCAGTGCCACTTCACCCAACACCAGCAACCCCAACGCAGGTAAGAGCGACTCCCCCAGAAACGCCTCTCTGAGGAGTAGCGTTGTGGAGGGTGGCAGGCAAGTATGTTCTGCTGGGAACCCATGGAATTAAAAAAAATCTGAGTCCCAAAGGCTCAGTAATGGTGGCAGAAACCCAAAAAATTACCTGCGGTTTCATCTAGTCTCCATTCCGTACTACTCACCCTACCTCAAGCTGTTTGCCAGATGTGGGACACTTTCATAAACTTGGACTTTGTGAAAGGCACTCCTCCAGCTGCCCTGCCAGTGGGAGGTGTTTGGAAATAGTTTCAGCTTCTCTGCAAAGGCCAGGTCTAAATAAGCACCAACTCTCCAGCCCCATTGGTCTAGCTCCTTTACCTAAGGAAGGAGTCACTTCTACTCTGATACCTTATCAGATGTTATTGAAAAATAGGACAAGTTATAATGGTGGCTGATCGTAATTGGGAGTTTGAGCCAATTTGTGGAATTTGAGCCTGAGGGATTAAAAGCCAAACAGCAGTGCTCAAACAGTCCTAGACATGACCGGGGCCATTGTCCAAAGGACAGATGTTCCGGGGATATTGTCTAAGAGTTGACATCAAGCCAAAGTTATTGAAACAAACCACTCGACTCATTTCCCAAAGCTTGGGCTACAATTGGGTCAACAGACTTTATCAATAAAGGCAAACTAGTGCCTGACCGGGTGTGGCTCAGTGGTTGAGCATTGACCTAGGATCCAGGAAACTGAGGTCCGATTCTTGGTCAGGGCACATGCTAGGTTTTCAGGCTCCATCCCCAGTAGGGGGCATGCAGGAGGCAGCCGGTCAATGACCTTCTCTCATCATTGATGTTTCTATCTCTCTCTCTCCCTTCCTCTCTCTGAAATCAATAAAGAATTTTTTTTTTTTTTAAAAAGGGCAAACTAGTAAATATTTTAGATTTTATGGGCCACAACAGGGTCTCTCTTACACCTACTCCACCCTGCTATTTTGTCATAAAAGTATAGTCAGTATATAAATGAATGAGTCTGGCTGTGTATCAATAAAACTTTATTTATAAAATCAGAAGTTTGGCCAGATTTGGCTCATGAGTCATGGTTTATCAAACCCTGGTCTAAAAGAATCCTCAAACCTAGGCTCTCAGATAGGGAAACAGAGGCCTAGCAAGGGCAGCCATTTGCCCAAGGTCAAAGAGCAAGTTGAGTTTCCCTACACTTATGTTGTTTGGCTTCCCCAGTGTTCTTTGATAGATCTAAAGAGATGGATGATTAAGCAAATGGAGCCAGAGCCTGTATCTAAGACCTGGCTCCCAGTCTTTTGTGTTTTGGAGGGGCCACTCTGAAGGGTGGGCCAGGTGGGCACAGCTGCACACTCAGCTCTCCTTGCATCAGGGAAGGGAGCTTTTCTAAGCCATTTCTGCTTCCCCAGACCTTCTGTGTTCTGGCCCTGTCACTAACAGCAGGGGGTGGGGTGAACCACTTCTCTCTGGGCTTCAACTTGCTCATCTGTAGTAAGGTGTGACTGAACTAAATAGCCACCCAAACCTTCTAGCTGTAACATCCAGTGACTATTCCTGGCTCACAGAACAAGCCACGTTTGTCCTTTGTTGCCAGAAAGAAGGCATTCCAGAAGTTATTTGTCTGGTGGGTCCAAAGTGGAGCTGCATTCAGTTTCTTACCTAGGTTTCCCAAAGCATCCTTGCAATGTGACTTACTTATTTACTTCATCTAGAATATTGGTTCACACCTTGTCGGAAGGGTGGCCCTTGACACTCCACTATGCCTTTTGTCCTATGCAGCATTTAAAAAAACTCTTTAAAAGAAATTTTAAAAATAGACTTAATTTTTTTAGAACAGTTTTGGATTCACAGCAAAATTGAGAGGAAGGTACAGAGATTTCCCAGATACCCCAGCACTACATATGCGTAGTCTCCCTTACCAGAGGGTACATTTGTTACAGCTTACATTGACACATCATGATCACCCAAAGTCCACAGTCTATATTAGGGTTCACTAGTGGTGTTTGTGCATTCTATGAGTTTTGAAAACTGCGTATCCCATCACTATAGTAACACGTAGAGTGCTTTTACCACCCTAAAAATCTTCTGCGCTCCACCTATCTATCCTCTCCTCCCAACCCCTGGCAACCACTGATCTTTTAACTGTCTTATACTTTTACCTTTTCCAGAATGTCATAGTTGGAATCATACAGTATGTAGCCTTTTCAGATTAAATTCTTTCACTTAGTAATAGGTACTTAGGTCTTTTCACGGCTTGAGTATCATTCAGCACTGAAAGGCTCATTTCTTTTTAGCACTGAATGATAGTCCACGATCTGGCTGTGCCACAGTTTGTGTATCACTTCACCTACTAAAGGGAGCACCTACTAGTTGCTTCCAAGTTTTGGCAATTATGAATAAAGCTGTTAGAAGTATTTGTGTGTAGGTTTTTTTGAGTGGATATAAGTTTTCAACTCCTTTTGGTAAATGCCAAGGAGTTCACATGCTCTTCATGTGGTAAGGGTATGTTTAGTTCTATAAGAAATCCCTAAACTGCCTTCCAAGGTGACTGCACCATTTCACAGTCCCACCAGCAATGCTGATCCACATTCTCATCAGCACTAACTTCCTTTTATTTTATATTTTTAAATAAAAGTAAGTTAGGCCACCCTGGCTGGTGTGCTTCAGTGGTTAGAGCATCAGCCCATGCAGTGAAGGGTCGAGGGTTCAATTCCCTATCAAGGGCACATACCTGGGTTACAGGTTTGATCCCCTGCCCCAGTCGGGGAGCTTGTGGGAGGCAACCAACTGATGTGTTTTTCTCACATCCATCTCTCTCTCTCTCCCTCCCTCCTTCTCCTTCCCTCCCTTCCACTTTCTCTAAAAATCAGTGGGAAAAATATTCTCAGGTGAGGATTAACAACACCAAAAAATTAAATTAGCCCAAGAATTATGGGAAAAGAAGCGTAAACAGGGTAAAAGTATATTCAATAAAAACTAAATCTCCCTCCCATCCTAAATCCCTAGGACCCAGATTTCCAGTTTCCTTCCCCAGAGGCCAGTTCTGTGGCGTTTCTTGTGTCTCCCTCCATAGATAATCTATATAAATAGAAACGTACATATTTGTGTTTTTGCCTATTCCCCCCTTTTTAATCATAAAAAGGATGTTATACACATTGTACCTTATATGTAGATTTAAAAAAAAAATCTATTTCTACCTATAGGTTCATAAGCATTTAGACAGCTCTGAAGGTTGTCAGACACTTAATTTATTCAGAAATCAAACCTCAGACTCATTTCATTTGAAAGACATGAATTAGATGGCCAGCCAAGATCAGCATTTGGCCACCGACTTGACTTGCTTCCTTGGATCCCATCTGATCTCTAGAGATAGAAAAGACGCTGCACCCTGCCTGGTCTCAGAGTCCTGGCCAGTAGCGTGGAAACAACTGCAGTATTGTTCTCACCATATGTTCCAGTTGTCCACTCAGAAAGACAGAAAGAGGAGTTTCATTTCATCAATTCCTCTTAGAATTTTCACTGACTTAATCCAACATCCCTTTCCTTTCATGTACCATGTATGCTAACCAGAATATAACATCTAGTTTCTTTTTGGAGCTTCTTGCCCTTTCCTCCCCATAAAACAGTTATTTGTACCTTCCTTAAAAATATGACTCTTTCTACACTAATTTGAAAGAATATATGCACCCCTACTTCATTGCAGCGTTGTTTACAATAGCCAATATTTGGAAGAAGCCCAAGGGTTCATCAGTAGATGAGTGGATAAAAGAGCTGTGGTACACTTATACCATGGAATACTACTCAGCCGTGAAAAAGAAGGAACCCTTACATTTTGCAATAGCATGGAGAACATCATACTATGTGAAATAAGCCAGTCACAGAAAGACAAGTACCACATGATTTTACTCATATGTGGGATTTAATGAACAAACTGAACTACCAAGCAAAATAGAGACAGACTCATAGAGAGCAGGCAGACAGCTCTGGTTGGGGGTGTGGGAGGGGACGGATTGAGCAAAAAAGGAAAAAAGAGAGAGCAAACTCATGGACATAGACAACATTGTGGTGATTGCATCGGGGCGGGGGGGAGTGGAGGTGGAAGAGGGCATAGAGGGGATAAATGGTGATAGAGAAAATTTAAATAAATTTAAAAATGTTTTAAATGATGTTTTCTATTAAATAGTGTTGGGGAGCTCTGTCTAGTGTTAGAGGATCAGACATCAAGTTTCTGGAGGGTTCTTTAGGTCCAAAGATTCCTGACTCCTTGGAATTAGAAGACTGCTCTGAGCACAGTCTTGCCCACCAACCTCTGACCTTTACTGTTGACAAGCACTTGTTCCAGAATTTCAGCAACAAACTCCCTGGATACCTAAGAAAATATGTGTTTATTTCCAACTCTTCTAAGGGTGTGCCCTGGAATTACACAACCAAGGAATAGAAAGTGTGCGGGAGGGAGGCATGAAAATTTAAAAGTATGTTTCTGGGTGTTATTTGTTGTTCTGTGGATTTTTTATCTCTTTTTGCTCCATCTCAGGTGTTTGCCAAAGAGATACCTGTGGCAAGGATTCTTCATGCGTTGCTCTGAATAATACACATTTTTGCTTGTGTGTTGATGGGTATTACTATAAGTCTTCCACGTGCAATAAAGGTGAGTCACAAAGCATAAACTGTGCAGAGCTGCACCTCATACTGAAAGCGGAATAGAAAACTTAAAATAATGGCAGAAAAGAGCTTTGGGAATACTAGAGACAGAGGAAAGTTTGGAGGCCCTGTCTTTGTCTCAGTGGAACCAAGTGTGAGAGGAAATGGACCGAGTCAGATTGGTGAGCCCCTCCTGAAGGTCCGGGAGTAGGAGTGTCCCTTCGCCCTTCACTTGACCTGTTCTAAGAAACCGTGTCATGAAGACAAAATGAGAGTGATAGGTGTTGAAGGCCCAGAAAAGGCACAAAGACCGCCCAGGGTAGTGCTGCCACATGGGGGCACTAGAGCAGAATAGGTGATGTGCCTAAAACCACATGGTCGGACAAGCCTGGTCGGTTCTCTGTCATAGGATTTGCTTGCTCTGTAATAGCAAGCCCCATTTTTAGAGACTTAAGAGCCTCTCAGGTCTAGAAATGGACTTCAGGAGCAAATGGCCATAAATTTGACATAACACCCTTCTGGTTAGATGAACTGGGTGCTGTGAAGAAGGCTGTTTCCTGTGTAATAAACTTTTGTTTCATGAATGAGAAAAATCCCCCCTCACCAGAGCAGATCAATTGAACAGAAAACAAATGCATAGTATTGGCCACAGGGATTAGAGACATTTCAAAAGCCAAAAGGATGTTCTTATTTTTACACTAATAATCTTATTTCTGGGGATCCTTTCTAAGTCAGTGACCCCAAATATAGAAAGGCTTCGGCATAAAGATGTTCATTACACCCCCCCACATACACCCCACGCCCTGATCCTTTTAAATAATTAAAAGTGCTTAAAATAAAAAATGACTACATCAATGAAGGGAACATATATTTCATAGAATATTATGCAGCTTTTAAGAAAATAGTTATAAAGACCAGGTAATGACTTGGGAAAATGCTTGTTATTTAATACCAAGTAAAGAAGATTTGTGATATAAACTTGGAATTATAATGATATAAACTACAGGAAAAAAGGAGCTGGGAGAAATACAGGTTTCCCCCACTATCTGAAAATAGAGCCTTCCTATGAAAACTTTTGGGGGGTTTTTTGGTTTGTTTTTTTAAATATATCTTTATTGATTTCAGAGAGAAGAAGGGAGAGGGGGAGAGAGAAACAAACATCAATGATGAGAGAGTCATTGATCGGCTGCCACGTGCACGCCCCCTGCTGGGGATCGAGCCTGCAACCCGGGCATGTGCCCTGACCGGGAATCGAACCTCGATCTCCTGGATCCTAGGTCGATGCTCAACTGCTGAGCCACGCCGGCCGGGCCCTATGAAACTTTTTGTAATCCAAAATTGCAAAAAAGGAAGACACAATTACCTTAGGACTCATCTTGCCAACCAATCCACAGAATAAATTGCGGCGAAGCGCAGATGCTCAGACAGTGCAGAGCTGGGGCCCTGGGTCCGGGATGCTGAGTGGCGTTTCCAGGGAAGGCGCTGGCGGGGCCCCTCTCGCGGCCCAGGGCCTGCGCCGCCTCTACAGCAGCTTGCTGCAAAAACATTGAATGCTGTTTTCGATTTTCACCTTTTTTCATAAAAGCAAAAATCCTCTCAGGATTTCTTTCAGTTAGCGAAAACAGGTCCTAATGTAGGTCTTTTGTCAAAGCGAAGTGGCATAAAGCAAACTTTTGAAAAGTAGGGGATACTTTTATACCAAAATGAAAATGGTTGTGTGAGGTTTGGTGGGATTTGGGGTAGCATTTATCGTATTCCCAGGCTTCTTGTAGTATCATCACAAAATGTTTAGAATTTTTAAGAAGTACGTCTTAAACAAAATGAAAATGACCCTCTTTACATTAAACATTAAAGAAAGATTCTGCTTGAATTTCAGGAAAGGTATTCCCTGGAACAATCCAATTAAAAGTGTCAGAAACATCTGACTTGGAAAATGAAAAGTCGGTAGCCTATGAAAAATTACATATGGAAGTTATAAATTTTGTAAGTATTTCCCACCTTCCTTCCTGTGTAAGTGTTCTTCATTCCAACACTGAGTTGCAGAGAGTAGGGCTGGTACTCAGGTGGTTCACACCGGTACAGCTGCTCCAGTAGTTGTTCAAATAGTGAAATACACCCTTACTGGCTGGTGAACAGCAGCTGTCCTGAACCCCGTGGGCACCTCTGCTTCCTGGTGGCCCAGGCCCGTCCCCCAGGCCCCTTGGGCCTCCCCGTGATCCTGCTCCTCCCTACGTAACTCCCAGCTCCCAGAGGACCTTCAGAAGCTTGCTCCAGGCATGCCATACTTGTCGTTCCATAAGCTATTAGAATATTTTTTAATGAACAGGTAAATATAATGATGTTTTAAATTGAATTATTTCCACAGAATTGAAGAGAAAAAGTTTTAAAGATGTTGCTTTTTTCTTTTTACATTCCAATTTGTATACAGTTCTGTACTAGTGTGCCTTTTTAATGTCTGAAAGAGGAGCTCTATCTGAATGAACATCTGTTCCTTCTTTCCCCCATTGTCAAAAATGTCAGAATGAACAACTGCCTCTTTTCACTGTGGTTATTGTGAGTGGCTGTGCCTACATGAGATCTCCACTCTAGAACCACAGGTACTAGACCTGGAAGGGCTTGCAGAGGGCATCCAGCCAAGGTTTCTCAAAGCTTAGCAAGACTTTAAAAGCTAAGGTCTTATTCTATGACGATGTCTTTCAATTCGGAATTATATCATTCCAAAGGAGTTTTGTTATTAGAACTGATAAAATATAAAAAACAATTATCCAAATGATTTTACAGATTGAACAGAGAGAACTAGTGCTCACGATGGAGCAACTGGTCCCGACACTGCTGGGGTAAAACCCCCGGCTGCCATAGCCCAGGGTTCCCCTGGCCCCTGTCATACCACCTGTGACCGATGGGCCAACTGCCCATGACGTCTCCTCTTCTCCTGGATCCACACTCCCATTTGCCTGCTTGGATGAGAATCAGTACCTTGAAGAAGGCAACGTCAGTGTGATCCTATTTCCAGGGAGTCCCTTGATTTTCACATGGGCCTTTACTGAGCACTTGGCCACTGTGGCCACCAAAAGGCCCCTCCAGCTCCAGGCCTATGCCCTGGTCTTCAGAGACCAGTTTAGAGACTTGGTCTCAGCCAGGTCTTGATGGTCCCAGGGGTACCAGGAAGGAGATAGAGCATTCTTATAATTTCCAAGAAGCTGTTAATCCAAAAGGGTTGCGCCAGAGCTCCCTTGCAACTCCTAGAGATAGTAAAATAGAGGCAATTTACTTTCTTCAGGGTCCTCTTAGCAGACTTTGCAGCTGGGGCAGTCCCAGTTCAGACCCTGAGAAGTCTCCCAGGATCCTTTTTTTTTTTACCCAGCTGTATCCAAACGGACAGTCCCTGATTTGGAGTTCTCCTGTTGCATGCGGTACCTGCCATTTTCTGTGTAATATTTCTAATTCTCAGAATAGGCCCATGAGGGTGGTGCTTCTTTTGTGAATTAAGCAGTCAAGGCTCAGGAAAGTGAAGTAACTAGCTGAAAGTAACCCAGCTGATGAGGGAGGAGGTCAGCATTTGAACCCAGATCTGCCTGACCACAGATCAGCCTTCTCCTCACTTGCTAGCTCTGTTGTGTGGTGGATGCCAGGCAGGCCAGTTTGGGTAGCGCCTACTTTCGTATCCAAACTTACAGCTCTTTAGACCTACAGGTGTTGATATTCCAACATCTCAAAGGATGGACTGAAAGAGAAAAAAAACAAAAAACACTTTTTCCTATGCCCAATGCTAATTTTGCAGTCTCTTCTTTGGGATTAAGTAAACTAAATGTGCAATGGTCAGTAGGGGCGCCAAAGGGACCCTGGAGGTCATCCAGGGCACCTTGTCCTACGTGGTTCCCAGTGCCCTGATGGTTTACAGAAACACCAGCTATCCCTAGTACTTAAAAGAATTATAAGGAATATGGACATGTTCTGGATATAAGGCTGCCCAGGCTAACTAGAGCATCACATTTATTTGAATTTGACTAGAATAAAAGAGAAATTATTTAACATCTTTTTAAATTACATTGGTTGGCACGAACTTTTTAAATGTGGGGTTCCCATGGGGAGAAAAATAATAAAACATCATGGATTATAAAAAGGTTGCAACACTTGTGCAGTAAATATGGAGACTGGAGCCCAAAGACGGGACAACATGTCCAAGGTTGTGTCTTTCACATTTCATTTATTCAATTATCAGTCAACCAGTGTTGAACTTTTCCTAGGTATCACTCTCTGCTGGGTGCTGTGGGGTGGGGGTGGAAAAGATTGTGTCATAAGAAAGAGAAAACAAACCCCATTCTTGGCATCAAAGAACTTCTGTTCTGATTGGGACCCTCAGCCACCCCCACCTCATCCCTGCCGGAGGCCTCAGCTTTATCTCTGGCAACATCTCTATAAGTATCTAGAGTTGTCTCTGTTCTTAGAACACAACTCAGGCCTGATAAGATGCACCTTCCAGCTCACAAAGCCCTGTATCATATACTCCACCTCATTTCATACACTTATAGCCCTACATGGTAGGAATTACTGCTCTCTCAAGTTTTCTATTGAAAAAGTGAGGTTCAAAGAAGTTAAATTATTCAACTTATGGAAGAGAGTTTCCTTGCACTTCCACAGGAGATCATTTCAGTCTATGGCACTTACCTGTCTCAGCCTCATGGTGTGGTTCCCTGTTTGATCACAGTGTTGGGTCAGCCCATCTTTGTAATTTCTAAGTCCCCTGGAATAATTGCCTTGCAGGCAATTATAGAAGTGTTCCTTGGGTAAATTGATGCATGCATGAAGCCGGCATGGAGATAAGTCTAACAGATACGCAAAACTTTACCATGTTTTGGTAAAGTTTTTTTTTTTTTTTAAGTATATCTTTGTTGATTTCAGAGAGAGGAAGGGAGAGGGAGAGAGAGAGATAGAAACATTAATGATGAGAGAGGGTCATTGATTGGCTGCCTCCTGCAAGCCCCAGCTAGACATCGAGCCCGCAACCCAGGCATGTGCCCTGACCGGGAGTCGAACTGCGATCTCCTGGATCCTAGGTTCATGCTCAACTGCTGAGCCACACCCGGCTGGGCTACTGTGACTTTCAAAAGACAAACTTAATAAGCCAGTCACCTTAATTTTTGAGAGTATGATCATTGATTGGCTACTTTAGTTTTCCATCTTGGATAACCCAGACTTATATTAAATTCTTACTATTTTACAGCAAAAAATACTGAAAGGTGTTAGAGAGCATGTCAAGAATAAATAATTTGCTTTGATGAACCATGTATATTTATATACAGGAGTTTAGAAATGTATGTATGTTAAAACCTAGATATAGTATCACTCCCCCCCTCCTTTTGAAGTTGTTATTAAATTTGTTTTCTTTTCCACAGTTTCAAAATGCCTTTACGAATTCTGATTTTGGACAGACTGTAATTTATAAAGTCAGGTAAGTTTTCTGTGTACTGATGGGGTACCTTGGAGACAGGTGTGCATTTGTTTAACTTCTTGTCTTCGCCTGAGTTCCCCGTGCAGAACTAAGGCCCTCCAATAGGAAGCCACAGGTCAGGAAGAGGTGGTCGGTCTGATGTCACGCTGACCTTGGTGTGGATGGGCAGTGTAGCCTGGGGACAGCAAGGTGCTGTCTATGATTGGCTCTTCAGCAATTTGCACCCATAGTCCAGCCCATCACCTGGATTAGCCTGTTTGGTTTGATCCCTTGGCTACAAACCACACCTAGTCATTCACCAGAATGTGCATTCCAGGGGGCCAGGAAAAGAATGAGTGGCTCGCCTGGCCGGGCATGGCTCAGCGGTTGAGCGTCGACCTGGGATCCAGGCAATTGGGGTTCGATTCCTGGTCAGGGCACATGCCCGGGTTGTGGGCTCGATCTATAACTCTCTCATCATTGATGTTTCTATCTCTCTTTCTCCCTCTCCTTTCCTCTCTCTGAAATCAATAAAGATATATTTAAAAAAAAAAAAAAAAAAAGAATGAGTGACTCATGGTCATCTCTTCCCTCATGTCTGGGCAGTGAGGGAGCTAACACCCAAATCTCACATGTGGCTACAGTAGTGAGCTCTTCCTGCAGTAAAAATTAGCATTTATTGATCCTATCAATATGCAGTGACCAGTGCTGAGTGCTATTTAGGGACCCAAAGAGGCAAAGGATTCTCAGGAAGTTGGCGATTCTATTTCAGCCTTCCCTGAAGCACATTCAACACAAGTGCAACAGCCCGAGGAAAGATGCTCTAAGACGAATGAAGTTGTGCAGGAAAAGCAGCCCTAATGTATTCAGATTTTATGGTTTGACTATTGCATCTGTCTTTATAAGCTTTGTGAAATTCTTGGTGAAATAGGATACAGTGTATATTTATGCCTGTAAATTCAGAGGAGGCCTGAAGGTGGTGAGTTTTGAGCTGATGGTGAGCGGGTGTGATTGATTGGCAGCCAGGAGACCACAGTGCGTGCGGCATGGCACAGAGCAGGCAGCGGGCAGGAAGGTGGGTTCTGAAGCTGGAAGCTCACAGCGGGCAGCTGCTGGACGGCTGGGCACTGCTTCGGGGCGTTTGGTTTGGTTTAGTGGACAATAGGAAGTTCATGCTCTGAGCATAACTGGTTAACACAGGAACAGTGAGGTGGGCCGGCTTCAGCCAAATCTGTACTTGAATCCTGGCCTTGGCGCTTCCTGACTGCATGAATGGATAGTTGTTTTAACCTCTCTGAACATTGCTTACCTCACCTGTATACCTGGGATAATCTGATCAGCTTTCCTAAAACCTTGGGAGGAATGAACGAGGTAACATTTGAAAGATCCCCTGCACAAAGTACGTGGCCCGTAAGTGATTTCAACATGTGTTAAATCATCTATTTCCTTTCCAGAACATGGGACCCTGCAAGTGTAATGGAGAGCTGGTCCCACAGGTCATTCTGAGGGGTTCCCTGAAATTGCACTCCTTTTTTCTTGTGGAGATACTAAAAGGGAGCCAGCAGTGTTCAGAGGCAACCTTCACCTGTGAGCTCAGTGTGCTAGCGAGAGACTACTTCCCCCACAGGGGCTGAGGCAGGGTAAATGCACCTTAGTCTCACCTAGGAAGGCTTTTTTTTTTT